TCAGCAGGAGCCCTGTTCTGGGACCTTCAGTCCTCCTTCTCAGCCACCCCAGCAGCTATATAGCAAAACCATTCCTGAAGTTTTCGGGTCATCCTCACAGAGCAGCTTTGTCTGGACAAATATGCCCCAGTGTTTGATCTCACTGCCCCAGACAGACACTGCTTCTCTGTTAACAGCCCTTTCATTGAGCATCCCATGTGCATATCAAATTCTGAAATTTAAATGTTGCCACTTGTTTGCACAGTACCAGGATCTGGATGGTCCTCTGTATTTATACAGGCTTGTTAGTTAAATTCCTGTTCACTGGAATTACATTTCCGCTGATAAAACCTGCATAATTCTTATATTCTGTGTTAGTGTCACAGAAACAATTGTCACTTTTTTAGTGACAATATTACTTAGGCAGTTTCTTAGGAACTCTGTGACAAAGTGTGATGTGTTTCCAGACAACAAGAACTGTGCTTAAGCAACTCCTGTGTGCACAGGCAGTTTGCATTTCACTAAGTAACATTATGAGCAGGAACAATCTTAAAACGAATTTAACCAGCTATTTAAATTATATATAGCATGATGACCAACTGTTCTTTGCAATTACCAGTTGTGATCATGGGTGAAACAAGCTTCCCTTTGTTCAGAAAGTAAAAGGATTGAGAATACAGACAACAGAACAGTAGTGTGCATGACACAAGATGTGCTATGAAGGACCGTGGCAGGGGATTCTTTTGAGATCTTTTAGCCATTTAACCAGAATTTTTTAATATTTTTTTTTAGCCAGCCTATCAAAATTTGAGACAGAAAGTTGACAATTTTGTATCGACCCACCTGGACAAACAGGAATGGAATCCAGCAATGAACAAAAACCAGTTACGAAATGGGCTAAGGCAGAGTGTGATTCAGTAAGTAAGCAACGTTCTGTAAAATACTAGTAGTGCTATTTGATAGTATCTTACATAGCTATCTTATCACCTAAGCCAAGTAAGAATTTGCAGAACTAAATTTTCCACACCACTTTCTGCTGGGGTCACCTGAGTTTCATTATACCAATGGCTGCAGTCTTAACTCATTAAAATTCTCACATTATTGCTTTAGCTGAAGTTTGTATTTTCATGAGCTGAACAGCACGGTCCAGTACTCATATTTGCTGTCTAGCCAAGTTATTGCTGCAAATATCCAACACTGTGCCTGCTGGCAAAACTGTACCTGATGTGCTGAGCTGGATGACCTTGACCTTTATTTTCAGTGAAGAGAAGAGCTTACATCACTTAAAGAAAAAACTTCTGAAGATGCTAAAGTTGTTTAAGTGAACTGTGACCACTAGCAGGCACTAATCAAACTGGCCTAGCCTGGTTTCATGCAGCAGAGGGTAGCTTTTGTACAGCTATTTAAGATAGTACATTTCCAACATGACAGGAAAGCCAGCTTAAGCTATGCTGCTCAGAGATTTAGGTTTAGTATCTCTTGCTGCTGGCTCGTTGCAGTCTGAACTTATCTTGAGTCTTAGCTTGTTTGAGGAAACATCCTGGATAAAAACTTACAGCATAAAGTTGCAAGGAGAGAGCCAGCAGGGAACCTGATAATGGCATTTATGCTTCTAAGAAAAGCGATTAGGATGTCTCACACACAGAAGTAACTATTTCAGAGCACTTGATAGAACCTGTAAATCATTAGTATGTAACACTAGCTTGTTTAATCTGCAATTGGAGAAGGGAGTGACTGCTAGAAGTACAGAATTCCCTGTCTTTCCTTGGAGTCTTTTGAGATGTGTTGGTCACTTAATGCTTCCTTTTATATCATGTTGCTCTACTACTAGAATGAAACAAACAACTGAAAACTGTGCCCCAGAGAGCCTGTAATGAGAACCTAGAGCCTGTAAGCAGGTGATTAAGATAAAGAACAGACACACAGCATTAGGGAGTTTGATGAGTCCCTGTCACTCCTGCAGTTGCAAGACTGAGCATTGAGGGTGTCAAGATGTGTCTGTCCTTTGTTGCACACCCGTATACGTGTGCTGGTACCTGGAGGTGACAAGATGTGCCATGGCCCTGCACCCACTGCCTCACCAGCCTTCACACTGTCATTAGTCTTGTGGCTGCTTTTCCCAGCGCCAGGCAGCGTCTCCCATTTCCTGTCCCCTGCTCCCTTGCAGACATGACTTAAGCCTGCTAGACAGCCTGTGCCCCACAATCCAAAAGCCTGACGCAGCCCCTAAAGTAATAAGTCACTTCAGTCGCTAGTGTTCAGTTCCAGAAACTTTGCTGTGCTACATGTGCTTGTTTTTATAATTAATACCCATCTGTCTAGACTAACAGTTACAAGGAGTGAGTGACAGTAGTGTTATTAGAGAGAAGGTCTCTTCTCCCTCAAGCCAGCCTGTGCTCTCACCTTCCCTCCCTCCTTCTCAGAATAGCTTGTTTCCCTTGTTTGTGCCAAAATGTGTTTGTTTGCTTTCATGTTGACCTCATTTCCACATGAGCCCTATTAAAGTGGCTCTTGTCCAACATGTCATTTAAGTACCTGGGAGACTAGATGGCAGTTGTTAATTTTCTAGGGAGAACTGAGAGGGGGTGGGGGAAATAGGTGATTGAAACAACTCCCTGTTAAGGATCTTTTGAGTGGGCTGCAGTTCTCACCATGTTAATGCTAATTGCAGTTGACAGAAGGGCTCTGGAGAGTTCCTGGAGGAGATTGGGGAGAAGTTTTTCAGAGGAGCTGAATGACTCCTTTGTCTTTGTTCAAGGTCAGGAATGCTGGAAGCTGGAGTGGACAGAATTATTTCTCAGGTGGTGGATCCAAAACTAAACCACATCTTCAGGCCCCAGATAGAGAGGGCGATTCATGAATTCTTGGCTGCACAAAAGAAAGAGGAAAGTGTGCCAGCTCCTCCTCCAGAGCCTGAGAATAAGGATCCTCCTGCACCATCTCAGGATGCCGCCTAAAGGTCTTGTATCTCTGCACTTACTACTTACATTTTTCATGTACTTCACCTCTGTAGTTTGTATAATGCAGGACAGAGAAGACATTGTATTCTTTCTGGCTTGACAGGGAGGACACTTTGATCATCAGTCAATGTCAGACAGTCATCTGAGCTGCTTCCACTTAAGTATCTGCTAAAAATATATTAGGACTGAAGACATAGGTATGATGTAAAACAGCTATCAAGGAACACTGTGGACTGTGCCAGTGCTGGTTTTGGATCAGGCCAAAAGGCCTTTTATTCCTGTAAAAGCATATCCAGCAGTGATTGACATGGAATTGGCTGGATAGCTTTCAGAACAATATCAAATGGATTAAAAATATATATCCTTTACTGAAATACAACTGAAAGTAGAGTGGTGACAAGTTATTGTGCTTTAGCATTGAAAGTTTTAGATAGCTCTTCTTCAGAACATACACTGGAGTGTTGAATTGTTAGTGACTGAAATACTCACTGCTGGAGTAAGGATAATGTCTCTGGGAGTGAATAACTCTTCATTCCAAACTGACTGGTTTAAATAGAGCAACCTGTATCTTTCCAGCTGAAAGGACTGAGGGTGCCTTTGTTGCAAACAAGTTCATTCTGGCTTTTGTGATTAAAATAACTCAGGGGGCCTCAGGGGCCTATAATTGCTACTCTGTCTTAGCACAAATGACTGTGCACCCATCTCTGCTAAGGGCCTGTATCTCAACGTTGATTTGAATATTGAGGCCTGTGTGCACATTACTGAGGAACCACTATCTTGATGGAAAATTTCAATCTGCAGCTTTGCTGGGAAACTTAAAACCATACTGCATAAAAGGAAGTTAATTGTGAATTGTTCTATCTGCTAGGGCTTTCTGAAAGTGAAAATTTTCCTTGGAGTCTCCAGCTGATTTATTAAGGAGGAATAAGTCATCTGTTAGCCTTGTAACCATTAGAGCAATTGGCCTGGTTTTGAGCTTAACAATGGAAATTAAAGTGCTTATAGTATCATCCTGAGTTATTTAGTTATCTGTGACTTGAAGCCTTAATGCCTTAATAGATCATTGCATTTGTCCAGTTCAAATATTTTGAAGTCCATTATAACCTGCAGCTAAGTGCAGCTGTTAATTAATATATTCTAATCTATTCTGTATTCAAATGCATTTACTTGCGAAGGTGCCATCCTCTAAACCCTTTTTTTTTTTCCTTTTTTTTGTAGTGAGCTCCTGATAAGAAGCAGCTGCAGCTGCAAAATACATGTCCTGTGAGATTGGATATGGATTACTTGTTCTATTTGGTGCAGGATTGCTGTCTGCCAAAGATCATAAACCTTTATCAGACCTGTGGGAAGGCATTGAAATTGGTGGAATACAGATGCACCTGGAGTTCTGCATGTGGAGGGACAGCCAAAGTGTGAAGATAATTTTGCTCTTACAGAGAGAAGCATGAATTCTTGTTAGTCCTGCCTTCAGGCAAAGGGGTGGGAAGAAAAAGGAGTTGGCTCTTTTCTGGGGGGAGTAGGGAAGTGGTTTGAGATGATACTAGTCTTGGGAGCTGGAAGAAAAGAAAAATGTTTTTGGGGGGTGGGGTAGTCTCTCTGAGACCAAGTAAGAGCTGATAGATCATCTTTGATGCAATCCAGATGAGAGGAAGCATCATACACCTCTGCTGCATAACACAGCACTGAGTAGTAGATGCCAAGTCAGGTGTAACACATTGCACTGCCTGCTTTAGGAGAGACATTTCCTATTTAAAACAGGAACGAACACTTCAGGATCTATTATCTTGATAATTTCTGCTGTATCACAGGAAAATGTTTACAGTTGGCTATGACTATAGCTGATTTAATTCATATTTCCTAGGTAACTCTGGGGAAGCAAAGGGCACCAGAGCAGGTGATCAGTTTGAAACTTGTCTCTTTCAGCTTGGAAGACTTTCCCATTAAATTTCTCAGGTGCCTAGTGGAAACTGTCCTATGCTTTCAGCTTGAATGCATGCAGTGTCCTCTGGATGACAGTCAAGTAGAGAATGTGATCAAATATTCTGCCAGCAATTGTCCATACCTTTTGCAATAAAAGACTTTAAGAAGCATCTCTGGCTCCTAGCTTTTTCAGATTTTATTTTTTTTAAAATCTACTTTAAATACTAGTAAGTATTCCTCTCCATATAAAGTCTCTCTTAAAAAATCTGAAGTATCAAAGAACTGAACTGATACTACCTCACATCATTTATGAGCTATAAATTCTGAGTAAGGTCAGTCTGGTGGTAGTGATGATGAAGGCATGTTCAACCTTGTGAAAACAATGCACCTCTAGCATTGGGCTAGAGCTAATCCATTTTTTTCCTTTCAGACAGCAATCTTTGAAGGAGCTAATAACTGCCTGTGTCATTGAATAATACTTTACAGTGTTTGAATCCTTGCTATTCATGGGCTACATACCTCAACTACAGCCTTACCCTAGACCTTGCATGTGAGCAGATGCAATTCCAGCTATATTCTGCTCCCCTTTCAAAACAGGTAATTTGTAGGGAAGACTGATGCTGTGGTTTAATCTTGTAGCTAACTGATTTTGCTCAGTACTTCCTCTCAACACAGTTACATGCAGAAATGGAGAGACACATCTGGTATTTTAAACCCTTCATATGAGAGCTCTCTGAACTCCACCACTGCAGTAAGTTCGCACAGGGCTGTATAGTCCTGCTCATACACAATTACTTAATATTTTTATCCTACTTAAGAGTGTTCCTCCCAGAAGGGGAACTTAAATACTGTACTTTTCAGTGATAACTGTATTGGCCACAACCTTTCTGATACAGTCTGAAAAACCTATTTTCAGATAATCAGGTTGTGTGGTATGACTCACTTAACATGGTTTATATTCCTG